TATAAATATAAAGATAAACTGTCTATAGAAATTCACAAAGCTCAGAAAGATCTGAATTTCATGAATACTAGTTAGCTCTGATTATAATAGAATAGTCTTAACTTATAAAGACTTTATCTGAATATTATCTGCAGTGATTACATATTCTAGAAAATTAATCTAATAGATACTGAAGTTACACTTTACAAGCTTAATATACAGTTCTGCCTCATTTAAGATCTTCAATACACTTTATATATACTCAGTGTGTTCTTCCTTCTTTGCAGAGTATATCATCACATCATTCAGATATATTATCACAAAGATATTCAGATATATATGAAGTGTTTTATTAATGAAAGACTGAAATGCTATGAGAGCATTAGTCAGATTAAAAGACATTACTAGATATTTAAATAATCTCAGTACAGTTCTAAAGACAGTCTTTCATGAATTCTCAGACTGTATTTACAGCTGTGTATATATATTAATCACATTCAGTTGTATGAATATAACAGCTTCTGTAAGATAGTTAATTATATTCTCAATCAGAGATAGAGAATAGCAGCTCTTTATTATCTTAAAGTTCAGATTATGATAATCTATACATAATCTAAGATCTTCATTCTTCTTCTTTATAAATATCACAGAGACTTTCATGAAGATCTATGAAGATTGAATAAAGTTATTCTTTAGATTCTTCTTCACATAGATGTGCAAGATCTCTGTCTTGTAATAAGAGAGCTTATAAATTGATTCTCAGAAGAGTTTCTATTCTTCTATTAAATCTATTATCAGATTCTTCTCACAGTGAGAAGAAAGCTCAGCTATCTTTACTGAGCTGAATATCTCTATAAGATCTCAGTATTTCTCTGATATCTGAAGCTCAGTTTTCATAATCATGAGATTCTCAGATACTTATAAAGTCATTATATAAATGAGCTTGTCTTCTCTAATTAACTCTGCAGTATCAACTGATTCTATCTCTGTAAATGAGTCTATTAACACTGATTGAAAGTATAAATCTGACTTGCAGACAGCTATGTGCAGATTATGTCTTTAAAGTCATATAAGTCTTAAGTATATATCATCTATAATGTCTGTGATAATCACAGTTTCTGCAAATCTTTTTCAGATTTCAGAGAGATCTTGTAATTTAAAGATAACTCTTATAAATTTCTCAGCTCTCAGGTCTGAGTTCTCATGTTCTGCTTATTATAAGAGCAGGTTTTCAGTTTTCATCTTTCAGCTCATTTACTCTGTGAGCTTTAGAGACACTACAGTGACCTGAGATTCTGAGTTTATTAATACTTCTCATACTTACAGAGTAGTAGTACTGTGATATAATCTCTCTCTATAAGCAAGCATTTTCATCAGAGAAGTAACAGATTCAGATATCAGCTTCAAGACTCTTAAGAAGGCTGTTACTGACTCTGTTTATAACTCTTCAAATTTCTATTTTAATTTATCTGAATAGTTTGTGTGAAGATGTTCTGATTTAGAATAGATAAAGCAGAGTCTCTTTTTCTTAGTCTCTCTGTTATATACTCTGTTTATAGAAGCTTGTAAAGCTCTTTCTCTCTACTCAGCAGTCAGACATGAATCTCTCTATATCTTATTATCTTTTTCTGATAAATCTATTCTCTGTTGTTCTGATTCTCACAGAGCTGATCAGTGATCTGCTCTTTATAAGTCTGTGACTCTTATAGTGATTTATAAGCAGTGAATAAGAGTCATCAGTTTCTCTAGAGTCAAGAGCTTAGAGTCTTACTCAATGAGCTTGTTCTATATATCTTTATTCAGTCTCTTTATAAACATCATTATTCAGATCTTATTTCAGAGCCCTGTTTTCACAGATCTCAATTTATATCATAATTTCATAAAGTATTGTAAGTAGTCTTCATCAGATTTCTCATCTCTTTTTCTAATATTAATAATTACAGTTCAGGTGTTCTCTGTTCAGCTCACAGAGTTTCTCAACTTATTCTCTAGATAGATCTTGAGAATAGATTAGTAGAATCTCTTATAATCATTCTCTAGATGATTCAGCCAGTTCTTGACTTCAGTGTAATAGAGATCTATTATTACATAGATAACAGCTTCTTCATCTTTCATATCACACAGCTGAGCTTATGAGTCAATTTCAAATGCAAACTTGCAAAAGCTTTTATAGATTGTGATTTGATAAGTGATCTTAAGTAATTATAACTTAAGAAAGTTTCTTTTCAGTTTACAGATGTCTCTGAAGATTATGTCTAAAGACTTAGTTCAAGAGTGTTTACAGACAGTAAGTATTTCTTATAGAAAAATAGCTTAATTCTGTGAGAGATGCTTAAGAATATTCTTTACTAAGATTGATTTATTTATAGATTCAGAGAGTTTCTCTGTCACAGATGCAGAGAATGATATTCTGTGAGTGATTGATAAGTTCTCTGAGACTTCTTTTATAAAAGTTATTCATAGTTCAGATGACTGCTTCTGAGTGTCTGTAGTAGAGTTCACAGAGATTGAAGTATGTGAGTTTCTAGTTCTTTCAGTCATAACAGATGATTGCTGACTAACTGAGCTTGAAATGTAAGAATAAGTGCTTACAGATGATTATTCAGATGTTTGCAGCTTGATGTGATATATACTGTTAACTACTATAAGTATTCACAGTAGAAAGATCAAATGTAGAGATTAAATGTATAATAGCATTCAAGCTGAGTTGTGAATAGTATTCGTGAACTTCAGTCTATATAGTTATGTGTAGCCAAGGGCCGCTAGCTCTATTGATTACATGAGAGATAGAGATAGAGGTAAAGAATCCGCGAGGAGCGGGATTTCTTACAGAAACTTGTAAGAGTCATCTTTGAATTGCAAGATCTCTCTGAAATCTGAAGAAGATTTGCAGAAACTGTGATTATCACAGACATCACAGATGATATGTACTTAAAACTTGTATAAGTTCAAAGACACAATTCACACATAGCTGTCTGTGAGTCAGGTTTATACTTTCAATCAGTATTGACAGACTTACTCACAGAGATAGAATCAGTTAATACTGTAGAGTTAATTAGAGAAGACAAACTCATCTATATAATAACTTTGTAAGTCTCTGAGAATCTCACAGTCATATTATTATTATTATTATTCTTCAATTATAGATGTATGCAGTCAGAGACTATGACATCTACCTGAGAACTTTAGTTCTCAGGGTTTTTTCTATGTCTGTGAAGTTAACTATTGTACATTCATCAATTTCAGATATGCAAAATCAGAAAATTCCAGCTCAGAATACAAAAACTGTTTACAAATTGCAGTGTTTTAACATCTTTTGATACTTTGAAACCATTTGACAATATCATGACAAAAGAAAAGAGAGAAAGAACACAGTCTCAAAGATAGACACATTAAATAGATAGATAGAAAGAAATTAAAAGAAAAAGATACAGAAAAAGATAAAGTAAAGAGAGACTATAACAAAACAAATTATTAAAAGAGAGTATATAGCTGTTTTAATAGACTATATCTGATTAATTTCCTTCTCTTCATATTCAGATAATTCTGAATTTAGTTATTTTCTTATAGCTGCTTGAGTTTCTGATAGAAAGTCTATTAAGTATTTAATTCCTGTCTCAGTTGAGAATAAGAATCTCATATTTAATTGATTTAGATCATACTTCTCTTTCAATCTGACTCTGAGACTATTATATAATGCATAGTGTATTATAATATGCTCAGAATTCTCATTTGTATTGCAGAATGAGCATTCTATTAAGTCAAATCTATCATCAAATCTTTGTATATAAGATTTGAAATAGCCATGTCCTAGTTTCAGCTGTATTATAGATGAGAATATTTTCTTTTTACATTTAATTGAACAAGATTTCCACTTGAGTTTTGTTTCAAATCTTGAATAATGTATACTCTTCTTTTGTTTCTACCAGCTTTCATTTCACTTGTCTAAACAAGATTCTTTTATTTTTCTCTTTATAAAAGATCAGAATATAATTTTTTAAATAGATCTGCTTAATTCTGCACTCTTTTTTACAGCTGAATCAGTCAATTTATTGCCATGAATATTCATATGAGTAGGAACTTAGTGCAGATGAATTCTCAGCTTTAATATTCTTCTCTTTTGAATTTTTAAAACAGAGTTTAAGATCAGTTCAAGATTCATTTAATTATTATAAATCTGACTATTTCTAAGTCTTTTTAAAGCAGCTTGACTATCAGAGAATATTTATGTCTCTTTCAAACAATTTCCTCTTTTATGAGATTTTATTTCAATGAGTTTGAAAGCTTTTACTATTGCAAATAGTTCAGCATCAAAGACTTCACATTCAGAGTCTAGATTTCAGAAATCTGAGACTACGAGTGCTAGTCACCCGCAGGATGTATCTTAAGCTAATTACATTTAACTCTCTATAATTAACTGATCACTGTGTCTATTCTCTCAGACCAGCCACTAATTTCCAGAGATGTTAGTTAGTGGCTGCCATCACTCACTTGATAGTGTACACACCAAGCTTCCGGTTGCTGATCTCAGCCTCATTAGATGCTCATAGGCCTATCAATCAGCTGTCATGACCTTGCCCCATGTTAGAAACTAATCATAGACTTGATGACTGCAGTTCTCTCTGCTAGTATTAGAGCTTGACAGTGAGCTTGCAGACTCAAGCCTATCAGAGTGCTCTGTCTAGAGCCTAGATACATATCTAGATCTGCTAGTCAGATGATTTTCAAAATTATTCTCTGTATTTGAGAGGAAGCTAGGCTTCAATGACAGTCCTAGTTAGAGAATTACTTAAGTAGTGTATAATTACTACATTAGACTTAACTCTATATTGTTAGAATCTTGACAGATGTATAGTAGAATAGTGAGATATTGATACTTTATATCAGCTCTGATGAGTGTTTACAGAATCTCACTTAACTAGTGACTTGACTTGCAGTAGAAAGTTCTATCTCATATCAAGCCTTACTAATTAAGCTCAGCCTCTATTACATAAGGGCTTTCATGAGTAAGAAGTGACAGATGCCAGCAGTGGGATTCGAACCCACGCATCTCTAATGTGTGCGGCCTTGATTACCAGTCTTATCAACTGAGTCACGCTGGCATCTCACAGTCATAGAAACTGAGCTTCAGATATCAGAGAAATACTGAGATCTCACAGAGATGTTCAGTTCAGCAAAGACAGCTGAGCTCTTCTCTCACTATAAGAAGAATCTGACAATAGATTTGATAGAAGAGCAGAAATTCTTCTGAGAATCAATCTATAAGCTCTCTTATTATAAGACAGAGGTCTTACAGATCTATGTGAAGAAGAATCTGAAGAATAACTTTATCTAATCTTCACAGACCTCTGTGAGAGCCTCTGTGATATTTATAAAGAAGAAGAATGAAGATCTCAGATTATATATAGATTACTGCAATCTGAACTTCAAGATAACAAAGAGCTGCTATCTTCTATCTCTGATTGAGAATGTAATCAACTGTCTTATGAGAGCTGTCATATTCACACAACTGAATATAATTAATATATATACACAGCTGTGAATACAGTCTGAGAATAAATAAAAGACTGTCTTTAGAACTGTACTGAGATTATTTGAATATCTAGTAATGTCTTTTGATCTGACTAATATTCTCACAGTATTTCAGTCTTTTATCAATAAAACACTTCATACATATCTGAATGTCTTTATGATAATATATCTGAATAATGTGATGATGTACTCTGTGAAGAAGAAAGAACACACTGAGTATGTATAAAGTGTGTTAAAGATCTTAAATGAGATAGAACTGTATATTTGTGGTTCGGAAGAACGTACGACCGTCGGATAATAACGCGGCCGCTTCCGAACTACTAGCGTACGAATGTAAAGGGGGCCCTAGCAGCCACTAATTAATTTAGCGTACAAGATTCAATATATAAGAAGCCGGTGTACGCCTGTAATCATACACTGACTTAAGCAATCTTTGAATCACATCTGATAGCATGTCTAAAAACTGGTGAGAAGCACAGGCTTCTTCAGAGTGTGATAATTCTGTCTACAAAGTGATTCATAGTTATCATGCCAGTGTGGTTCTAGAAACACCTCAAAAGATAGTGTATAAAGAGCAGTGAGTAGAAGAGTGTGGCGGGCTGCGCCCGATCAATCATATAGACTATTCCGTTACACTCCACAGATTCTACGTACGCCCCGATCCTCGGCCATTCTCGATTGCCGATCCTCGGCCGCCACCCCGATCAATCATATAGACTATTCCGTTACACTCCACAGATTCCACGTACGCTCAGATCCTCGGCCATTCTCAATTGCAGATCCTCAGCCATTCTCGATTGCCGATCCTCGGCCATTCTCGATTGCCGACCCTCGGCCATTCTCGATCACTGATCCTCGGCTACTACGAACGCGCATATATTCATCCGCCCCGAAGCTCCACCGCGTACGCCACCACATATGTGTATAAATATCCATCTTGATCACTGATTCTCGCACTTTCTCTTTCTTTTCTTCTCTAGCGTTTTTATCTTTGTTATATAAGACCTATCAATATTATACCGATCAATTCGGCGTAGGCCCCTTACACTATAAAAACGCTCATTGTCTCCTTATTAGGAAACAATTATCCAGCATCATCTCCTCATTAGGAACGATTATCCATCGAGAGATATCCGAACGCGTAACGACGCGTAAGAAAGAGAAACAGTCACACAGTTAAGCGGACACCGAGTCCCCAGATAGTCCCCAGATAGAAGCTTGCTCGCCAGTCGCCCTGGCCCCGCAACAAGATCTTACGAAGAGAATAAGATCTTACAAAAGAGAACGTCAGCGAAAGACCCGAGAGTCCTGACACCCAGACGTATGAGAATACGATTACACTTCTTCAGATTCCACAGATATCATACATCCGACGATCGATATAACCATGTCTAACAATAATATGGAACCCTCGAACTCGAACATGAGCATAGATGCAGTGCCACAGTGGCTCCGAGCAATGTTGGAACTACAACAACAACAAATAGCTGATATGCATGCAACTCAACAACGCCAATATGAAGAGATTCAACGATTATCACAACAAGGAACCCATGCAATCCCAACATCTACAGAATCGAATACAAAAGCGCCGAAAGAACGCTTAGGTGCTCCTGCATATTTTGATGCTTCTGACCTCACTCTCTACTCATCATGGAGGATGGAAATGCTCGCGAAACTGAGTGTAGATGGAGATTCCATCGGTTCGTTAACCAATCAAGGTTGGTATATCAATGGAAGATTGAAGGATCGCGCGAAACAGAAGTTCCATCCATGGATGGAAGCATGCGAACCAGCATTGCGAACGCCTGATAACATCATGAAACATCTTGATGTCCTGTTCCGAGACACAGCCATGCAACAGAAAGCATTAGAGTGGTTACAGAGCATCAGACAGAGGAACACTCCTCTTACAACATTCATCCCTGACTTTGACACCAAGATCCTAGAAGCAGGTGGTCAATCTTGGGAGGATAGAGTGAAGATTAGCATGCTCAAGAAGGCATTAACTTTTGAACTCTTACAGGCCCTTGTAAGTGCAGATGAAGACCAGACTTATGAAGGCTTCTGCACACAGCTCCGGACAATGGATGACCGTCTTACCAAGCTCAAGAATATACAGAACAGTGGCAGAAGACATTACACCCCAGCCACTCATACACCCACACCGAAGAACAATGATACAGATGCCATGGACTGGATAGATTCAAATGCCTATGCACAAGCAAGAGTCTCCGCCGTCCGAACAGGCTTCCGAGTCCCAGGGATCACTCCCGAAGAAGTCGCCGATCGACGTCAACGTGGAGTATGCATCAATTGTAACCGATTGGGACACATTGCTTCCAACTGCCGATCGACCTATGTGCCTCCACAAACGAGAGAAAGATCAGCGCCTGTCCGCGCCAACCACATTACATTAGAGGAAGATTCAGAAGATAACTACGAGAATGCCCCGATGAAACAGGGAAAAGATTAGCTCCTGTTCAAATTCGCAAACAGGAGCTTGAAGAGGTTGAACAACAATGATTTGAAGAGAAGCCACTATGCAATGATAAAATCTCCAGTTGTAAGACATCATAACCTCCAGCGTATCCCCTTATCAAATATTCCACACAAGCTTGCTCCGCCGCGCCGCCACCGATCCGCTCCCTTCTCAACCGACCTAGACTCCGAGTTCCGCGTTATCCGAAACAGCGGCCCTTGACCGATGGGAACTGCTTCCGGAAAGGGGGGGCTAATGTGGCGGGCTGCGCCCGATCAATCATATAGACTATTCCGTTACACTCCACAGATTCTACGTACGCCCCGATCCTCGGCCATTCTCGATTGCCGATCCTCGGCCGCCACCCCGATCAATCATATAGACTATTCCGTTACACTCCACAGATTCCACGTACGCTCAGATCCTCGGCCATTCTCAATTGCAGATCCTCAGCCATTCTCGATTGCCGATCCTCGGCCATTCTCGATTGCCGACCCTCGGCCATTCTCGATCACTGATCCTCGGCTACTACGAACGCGCATATATTCATCCGCCCCGAAGCTCCACCGCGTACGCCACCACATATGTGTATAAATATCCATCTTGATCACTGATTCTCGCACTTTCTCTTTCTTTTCTTCTCTAGCGTTTTTATCTTTGTTATATAAGACCTATCAATATTATACCGATCAATTCGGCGTAGGCCCCTTACAAAGAGCATCTGATTGATACTGCTTCACTTGTTAAGAGAAAACTCCACACCCAGGCAAATGCCACATATAAGACATGAACAGATGAGGTGTGAGAAAGAAGATGAGAGCAGTGAATCAGATTCAAAGAAGTCTGCTCCCTACTTAAAAGAAGAATAAAAGAAGAGATGATCATCATCAGAGTCATACAATGATAACAGAAAAGTGATATAATAATAGACATCATATAATCAATCAGAAACCACTGAAATGAATATCTCTTCTAGTTAATATAAACAACACTCTTCTCTGCTATCTGAACTGAAAGATATGCAGAATCTCTCAGAGGAATTACTTAAAGCAGTAAGAAAAGTGACTGAAATCACTGAATGGAAATCAAAGCTCTGTACATGTATGAGAATTCTAAACAAGATTAAGGCCTTGTATACACAGTGACAGACTGAGACAGAAGTCAAACAATAATTGATATTCACTGTGAATTAAGCATTCACTATGAAGAGCTTCACTGATACAATCATCATCATTAATAAGAATAGAGAAAATCAGATCTTAGGCCTGCAGCAGAAGATTGAACATTTACACAGATAGGTGACTACACTGAATCTGAAGATCTTATTATAATCATTCATGATCTCTTCAGAAGTGTACACATCATTGAAGATCACTGCACAGGATGAGAATCTGAGCATGAGATATATCAAGTCAGAAGATCTGCTGAAGTTACTAAGCTTCAATAGTGACTGAAAAAATAATGCTGCAATCAGCTGACTAAGTCAGATGCAATCATATTATCAGATTAAATATGAACTCACAGACAGACAGTTAACAGAATTTTAACAAGTCTTAAGATCTGCTGCATTTCTACATAGAAAAGTGAAGTCATTATAAATGACTGATAAAAAGATAAATCTTACAGATCTGAAGCAATATTCATTTCTACAAATATGAAATGAGTTTTTCAAGTGAATCTTACACAACTTTGAGAAAGTGAATATATAAGACAAGCATTATGAATACTTCACTGAGTGTAGATAAGTGAGTGATTTTATATTATATTTCACACACTTCAGCTTACACTATCTTACATTGAATGAAGAGGTTTTAACATCTTTCTGTTTACAGATCTTCATTCATGATCTTACATCTGAGTTGAGAGTGAAATGAAAATGCTTAATCTCACAGCCAGACACAGTGAAGAAAGTATACAATATTCTCATTATACAGAAACAAGTGAGTCAATTGCAATAGAAAATACTGCAATCAAGTATGTTTCAGTGAAGAACAGATAATCAGACTTCAATAATACAAGTCACACACTCAGATACAATAAATCTAGATCTGAATGCTATCACTAAAGCACTGAATTCTCTGAAAAAGAAATCCTCTGAGTGGAAACCTTGGTGTCATGAGCATTGAGCTTGCTTCAACTGTGAATGTCAAAATCATGGTGTAAAAGATTGTACTCAGCATATGCAGTCAAAAAACTAGCAGAATCAGTGAGCTCAGAGGCACTCACTGATATTCTATGAAAAGTCTTCAAAGTGAAAGAGATGCCTGTGTTAGATGACTCTCTGAATCCTGCAAATGTAAAGAAGAAGCAGACTTCTGAATGAGATGTGAATGAGAATGATGAAGTGAACACTCATCTCAATGTCTTGAGACCTGAAATGTTAATGTATAGAGAGCACTTGAATAAGAATCAAGAGATGGCTGCAAAAGTATTAGCAGATACAGAAGCTTCTACACAATATATTAATGATTATATAATTCAAAAATTGAAAGAAGTTCACTGAGTGAAGAATTCTCAATGCATAAGATTATCTGATAACTAATATTTGATATCATCTACAAGAGTAAGAGTTCTCTTGCACTTCAGAGAATAATCTTGCTATATTTGAGCGCGAGAGCTGCAGAATATGAAATACAATCTTATTCTCAGACTCAATTAGTTTCAAAGATTCAATCTGCAGATTCAATGACATATATGTCATATGCAGTTGACTGATAGAAAGAAAATAGTTCATACAATTCTATCAACTGATATGAGAAGGACATTTCATATCTCTGATATAGAAGGATTAAATCTGCTTATATATTAACAAGCAAAGAGAATGATTTGCAAGATCTCATTCAAAAGTATTCTGTATGTTATACAGGACCTGAAAGTGAAGAAACTCAAGATAAAGAATATACAGAAGAATAAGTGTATGAAGAAGCTTCTGAAGAAGTATGAAAAGATCTTCTGAACAGATCTTTCACTGAAATTACTGTCAGAACAAGGATTTGTACATGAGATTGACACAGAGAATGCAAAACCAGTCAATCAGAATGCATATTCTCTGTCACAAATACATCTCAAAGAACAGAAGTGTCAGATCACTGACCTTCTAGAACATAGTCTCATACAATTCTCATCAAGCACATGAGGCTTTCCAGTTCTATTTATGAAAAAGGCAGATGAGAAGTGATAGATGTGTATCAATTATCAAGCACTCAACAAGCTTACAATCAAGAATGAATATTCACTGTCATGAATTCAATAACAGTTGAATATAGTTGAAAATATCTGATATCTATCAAAGATTAATCTTCTCTCAGAATACTGACAGATCTGTGTAGATGAACTGTCAGTTCTATGAACTGTGTTTAATATATAATGAGAGAAGTTCAAATTCCTGACAATGTTATTCAGTCTGATAAATGCACTCATCATCTTTTAAACAATGATGAATACAATTCTTTATAAACAGAATGAAATCTCATGTCTCATATATCTCAATAACATTCTAGTCTTTTCAAACTTATATGATAAATATCTGAACTATCTTGATAAAGTGCTTATAACTCTGACAGAGTATAAGCTCTATATCAAATCAATCAAGTATGTGTTTGAAATAGAAGAGTTAAAGTTCATAGAATATGTAGTGAGTAATGACTGTATACACCTCATTCTGAAGAAATTGAATATTATAGTGAATTGACTGTAGCTGAGAAATATACACTATGTACAACAGTTTCTTGAATTGATCTCATACTACTGCAGATTCATCAAGAATTTTACATAAATATCTGTATCACTCTCAGATCTCTTAAGAGAAATAGATGCAAATCTGTGAAAGAAGAAGTTTTATTCAATCATCTGAAATACTGTGTGTGAAGAGGCTTTTCTCACACTGAGAGAATATGTAATAATATTCTCAGTACTTATTTAATCAGATCATGATAAATCTTTCTACATTAAGACAGATACATTTGAATGAGCTATCAGAGATACTCTTCTACAGATGAGTAAGAATGACAAGCTGCACTCAGTAACATATGATGATAGAAAACTATCAGACACTGAGCTCAATTACTCAGTGTATGAAAAGAAATTGCTAGCAATCAAGCACATGCTGATATTGTGAGATAGATATATTAACAACAGGTATACAATAACAGTGATCACAGATCATAAAAGCCTCATCTATCTATAATCAATGATAAAACCTTTCAAATGCTTAGCATGTTAAATCTCAGAGTTTTAAGTATATAATCTTCATATCAAATACTGAAAGAGATCAGACACAGTGATGCTGAATACAATCAGTCACAGACTCAATTTTATGAGTAAGAATTCTACAAATCAGATATAAGAAATGTTCATATTAAACACACTGAGAAGATGCAAGGAATCAGAATGAGTAAACATCATGATCTCTCACTTGAAGAATGACAAGATGTCAAATGATAAGTATCTTATAAAAGTAGTAGAAAAGATGCTTCTGAACTTCAAGCTGAGAAAATTGAAAAACAACATTGTGCTTTACTGTGATCTAGAATACACAGAAGCTCTCTATCTAGAATCTTCATTTAGACATGACTTGATGACTCACATGCACAAGGAATTCAGTCACTTAGAAAGCTCTGAACTCATGAGTGTACTCAAATCAAGAGTATACTGATCAAGCATGACTGAGAACATTCAGATATACACTCACAAGTGCCTGAATTATCAGATTATAAAAGAATCTAAGAAAGAAGTAGAATATAAAGAAGTACAACATCAGATGAAGTATATAATACAACTGTTCAAGTAATGAGAGATGAACCTTATAGACATATTATCATAAATATCAAATGAAAATCAATGAATAATCACTGCTATTGATTACACTACTGACTGGCCAGTCATGAAAGCAGTTCCAGAGATAATAGAGAAGATGATAGCAAAGTTTCTACACAATGAGATCTATATCAACTATGAAATGCTGTGTGAGATTCTAACTGATAATAGTGTGAATCTCATAGAAGAAGTAGTGAGGCATTTTGTGAGTCAGTTACAGACAAGACATTGTAGAACAATGTTATATCATCTGCAGATGAACAGAAAGATGAAATACTTGAATGAAATCTTGAGTAACATGCTGATGAAATATCTAGTGAGCAAGCCTACAAGACTATGAAATGAATATCTCAGACAGACACTATTAGTCACGCGGATTTGACAGCATGCAGTCTCCAAGTGTTCATCATTCTACCTGTTGTATGAATTGCATCCGCGCATCCCGGAGAATGCTTCGGAAAAGGTGAGGGAGGGAGCAGTTGCGGATGCAGCAGTTGCAGACGCAGCAGTTGCGGATGCAGCAGAAACAGCAGTTGCGGATGCAGCAGGAACAGCAGTTACAAACACAGCAGTAGCAGTTGCAGATGCAACAGTCACAGACGCGGAACCAAGATTGAAAGAGATCAGTCATATACATGTAAAAGCTAATGAGTTACTTCTGAACTGAGCAATTCAATCAAAAAGAATATGAGACTCACTTGTTAAGAAATTGAGTCTCAAGATGAGAATATAAGTTCTTATATGCAATGAGAGTTCTGAGAAATTCTAATCTAGATGATTTGAGTCATATAAAATACTCAA